CACTGTGGGGACACCAGCTAGAGTCTGTCCTCTGTCCTGTGCAGGTCAGGGCAGGCAGCTTGCCTCAGTCCTGGGTCTATGATCTCTACTCCACACATCACTGTGCCATGCAGATATCTTAGATGCCTCCTTAGTTCATTAATTCTCAAATATTTTCCAGACCTGCTTGAAATAATATTTAGGTTTTGCTTCCTTCTAATTTCTTAAAGGAAAGAAAATATTCTTCTAATGTCTCCTTACTTCTACTTACAGTGTAGGACTATTTGCTTTTTCAGGATCTATTTTTAGGTCTATGACATACATTTATACTCATCTCTTTTAAAGCTCTTTGCAAAAGAATTCAGGAAGTAAAAGCAGAGGTATATAAATTGTTTTCTTCAGGTCATCCACCTGCAAAGCTAATTCCTCTGAAATTCCTCAGAATTTCAATTCCAGACTGCTGTTCATGCAGTGCTTCCTTCTCTTTACAGGTACAGTTGTGATACTTGGTGCAGTAATAATTTGCATCAATCAAATAAACCCCCAGAAAAAGAGACTCCAGCCTTCAAATATGCATTCCCAGAAACTGATATAAAAGCATGGAACAGAATCAGGGTAAAGGGGAAGAACTTCTGCAGTGGATCAATCAAACCTTTTGCAGCTCCAGTGAGGTCACTGTAATGGGTCCAACAATGGGGAAGTTGGGGCAGTTGAGACAATTTTCCAAGTGATCTCATGGGAGCCAGAGAAAAGTAAAATATCGCATTTTCTCCATAAAAAGAAACATCCTTTACACATCCAGGCTTAAACAGAGTTGGCTCTGTTTCATAACATTTCATATCTTTCACTGGTTTATGTGCACTACATATTTTAAGAATTGGATAACAATGGCTTTATGGAAATTAAAGGAAGTTAAATAAATGTTGCATTTTAAAAAGTCCTTGTAGCCACTGCTGCTCGTGTAATTTCTTTTTACCCTTAGACCAGACCTTTTGGAAACTACAGCATGTCCTAAATAAGCCAAGACCACAACCTGGTGTACTCAAGGCCCACTGGGCATACATGTGTATATATCTTTGATCATTTGTGTTGTAATTACCTACTGTGCTCAGGTCATGTTCCCTTTGCTTATGCTGTCCAAGCCAAAAATGTCAAAAAAGTTTTACTGTCAGTGGTGGAATCCCAGAATTTGCTTGAAGAGGGAAAGCTGGTGGTAAGGATGCCATATGAGATGGGAGAAAGAGAAGCATGTAAGATCAAAATGGTTGGGGTTCCAGTGCATGCCCTAATCTCCCAGGCACTCATCTTATGCCACACAGCAAGGCCACCAGCAACCCAGTATGCAGCAAATGATCACAGAGTATAGTATATATTAAACAGTGCTGCCTTATAAAAAGACTGGCTGGCTTTCTAGCAGCAACCAGTCTCTTTCTCCTCTACATAATCACCCCCTCTCTGGTACCAGAGAGCTGCCAGCCTGCTTTAACTAAGCACACAAACTGAAGCAGCCTGAAAAAGTTGCTCATGTAGCAGCTGCTCCATCACACTCACAAACTCAGTTGCCACAACACAAGAGGACATACTAGAAGTTTGCACTGTTGTGTTCTTCCAAGCAATTCCTTCTGCAGAAAGCCTCTAAGAAGTCAAACCATTTGACTTTCAACCTGAGATTAGATACAAAATAATGCATGTAGACCACACAGATCTGGATGTGACTGTAATACTGCTGTTGAGGTCTGGAAGGCACAACACAGCTATTTCCCAAGGGAATGAAACTTCAGTGTTGTTAATATAGCTACCACATCCTTTTCTCAATGACGCTTTAGTTTTACCTTCTTATTTTGTGTCTTTCAACACCTCTTTTCCAGCCTCCACTGAGGGGTGAATTACCATTACAGCTACTTCTCCACTGACCAAGAAGCCCCAACCACAAGAAATTGTACTGTATCTTCGATCCCTGAGCAACCACGTAGTAAGAATGCTACTGTTTGTGAGACATTTATTTAGATCAGGAAGCCCTTACAGCAAATAAACTACAGCCAGTTGATATGAAACATGTTAATACGGATTGCCTTAAGGTTTCTTTTCAGGGAACAGTCAATTCTTACAAGACAGATCTGAAGATAACTTCTGCTCTCCATTGTACTGGTACTTATCAAAGCAGTTTGATGAAAGAAACCAGGTGGCAAGCAATGACACTGACTCCAATTGCCACAGTGGTACCGTTATTTTTTTGGTCAAAGAACAAGACTTGCTTCTTGATTTCTCCAGCAAAAATATCTCTTAAGATCTGGAATTCTTATATGGGACCTTCAGAAATTAATATGACCTCACATCTACCATTGCATAGGGAATACCTTTCAGTAGTGACCTAACATTAGCTTTCTCTCTAGAGAGGTTATTCACAAAATCTGAGAGGGTAGTACCAAACAGATACGCCTACAAGAGGAAATCTGAGATGCTGACAAGCAAATAATTTCATCACCACTTAGGATCTTTTTATTATTTGGAATATGGCCATTCCAGAGACTGAGCTTTGCCTGTGTCTTCTGGATTGATGTCCACAGCTGGATCTAGGCAAGCTGAAGAACGTGTGAGGTTTTTAATGCAAATGGGTGAAACAAAAACAATTAAAAAACTGCTCAGTTATCCCACCAGAATTCACTGAAGTTCACAAAAGCAAGGGGAAAAGACAGGTGGCAGTGTGGAGTTCCCACTCACCAGTCAGCTCAAACATGTTAAAACTTTTCCACATCTGACTTCCTTTTAAGCCAAAACCTAAATACTTGGTTATAAGGGCTGTGCATCCAAGGCTGCCCCAGTAGCTGCTAGTGAAAAAGTCCTAAAAACTAGACCTTGTTTTATCCAATATTGGTAGTTAATTTCTATTACAAACAACAACTGTTGGTAATTAAAGCAGGAACCTTTGTCCTACTGTTTTGTAAACAATCTGGACTACTAGTCAATATGAAGATGGTATGCAGATCTTTCTTTCATTTGCATCAGATGCTGATCTGTCTTAGCTTTTCCATTGCAAAACTCAGATCAGGAGTTGGATAAGACTTAAGTGACTGATGTTTCACCCAGACAAGTGTTAGTTGTCATTTCTGGAGAGAAGAAAGAGCTCTGAGTGTGCAGAAGGGTGTGTCATGCCTCAGCACTCAAATTTCCTGTTAGGTTTCTAAGCAATTAAAAATTAGGACACTGCTTTGGTTCTCTAGATGCTGTAAATTAGGATGTTATTGAATGGGCTGACAGTTTAGGGGAGTGGAGGTTCTCTGGAATAGCCACTGTTGAAGGAGTCATATCTCAAAAACATACTTGGAGCTGAAGAATCTCAACATCTGTGGAGAAGAAATCTGGTTTCCTCCTCAGCAGATGTCTGTATACAATATTTGTGAGAACTGAACTCCTTATCACAACAGGGAATGAATCTTCTCTTCCCTCTGAAGTCTACAAAAACAAGCTCTGGATCTTCCAGCTTGAAAACAATCTGGTTTCTCAAAAGGCAAAATTGAGTTCTGATGTTTAGCATAAAGCATTAATGGTGATTAAAATTGGACTTCAATAGTTGCATAGATTCTTTTTGGGCTTCTGTTATTGCTATTTAATTAAAATGTGTATCAGCAAAAGTGAAGAACATTATTAAATTGCATAGCAATTATTCCATGGAAATGAAACTTCTTTTTTTTTTTCTTTTTCCCATTTCATAGGTAAAGTGACCTCATTCTTCCCAAAGATATGGTTCTTGGTTTTTTTCCATATAAGCCGATCTAGTTCTGATTCCCTCACCTTTGTATGTGACGGCCCTGAAAAATCAAATCCTTATCTACAGAATTAAGGGATTTTATGATGAAAGTTGTTTTCATTACTTCTATTATACAGTAAAAGAAAAGTAAAGTACATGCAGGTTTCATGACTCATCCAGTATCACCTAAGAGGCTGACGGAAAAGCTGGGGAAAGAACCTGATATTCTGGGTCAATGCCTTGCCCGTGAGGCCCCATTTACTGTAAGGAACAACTAAGCATTTGTACAGCCCTAGCAGAATTGCACTGCTATTCATTGCTTCATTCAGCCATTGCTTCCCTTACAAAATCAAACCCAAGCCCAAAAAGCAGACTAGAAAAGAACCAACTATAATGAGGAAGATGTGGGGGAACATCTGAATGCTTGATTATTTAACAGACTCCTGTTCCTTTAAATATCTGTGAATTTCAATGTCAAAACCAAATAAATCTTCTGGGAGGTGTCTCCTTTCTCCACTTCCAGCACCTCCAGAACCTGTGCCAAATACCAGAAGAGAATAAAACAAAAAAGGAAGAGGACATCATCCCTAGCTTTTAAGCAAGCATCTCCTGTGCAATCCAACAGTCCTAAGCCATTTAATATGTTATTGTCACACACTCAAATACAAATATATCGCAATTCTATACTATCATTTTGTCAACTCAAGCCTGATAACACCCCAGGTAGCTTTCTCTATGTTGCATGTGCTAGTCTGTCATGGTAGGGTCATAGGCATTTCTAGGCACCTTGCACAATCCAGGCATTGTTTTGTTTATTGAGTATCTGCCTGGAGGAGCAGAAGATTATGCTACCTGTGACTGCAAAGGCAACACATCAAGGTTTCATGACCTAAAATTTTTGTTAACACAGGAGATTAAGGAGAGAGAAAGGAAAAAGTAATAAAAGAATGTAATTTTGGTTCTTGTGATATTTTATATATATGTATTTGTATTAGAATATATACATTATATATATAATTATATATATAATTTTACCTTTATGCACTTATACATGTATATTTTTCTATTTGTCTATATATTTATGTAGCTAACCTGTTTAAAGAGAAAAAGAATTCCAGAGGGAGGGACTATTTATATATATATTTACTTTTTTTTTGTATACGTAGGTATTTATATACATATATATGCATAATGAAGCATATTTTCAGCCCAAAACTACAAATTCAAAATTTTAGTTAAATAGGGGAGGGGGGTTTGTGTGTATAAATCTTACCTCTGCTCCATCTGTGAGTCACAGTGGCATGAGCACTGTAATAGAACAGCAGCAGCAGCAAAGTCTTCCAAAGCATCGTTCTTTTAAAAATATGTTATGTCCAGCTGTATAGTAGCTTTTCTATTTCCTACCTCCTTTCTTTTCAGGAATAAATTAATGGCTTTTCCTCTCCCCCTCCCCCTTTGTAGGAGAACCTGTCTGTTCTTCTGAGTACAGCTGAAGTCAGTGTGCAGCTCCCTTCCCAAACCAAGTCTCTTCGGGATCAGGAAACTTACTTTCACAGACAGACTTTGTTTTTATCCACATCTGGAATGACTCATGGTGCATGTGAGTTTGCTGGCAGCTGTGTGAATAAATATCATTACATTTTTGTAGTTGAGTTTCATTTGTTATATGGGCCAGTTGGAATTTATTTTTGTCCAATAAACAGCCACAAGTAACTTCACTAAAGAACACTCTTTAATCCTAGCTCTGTAGCTACTCCTCTGTAAAGCAGGGGGCTATATGCTACTCCCTGTCTAAGGCAAAAGCCTCCTCTGGAATGATGTACAGCTGCCTTTGGATGCTGAAGTCAGGGAGTGAGGCAAGTTCTCTGCAAGAAAAATTTGCTACTGTGATTCATATAATCACTCTTTTGTTAAGAGCACATAACGTCACACTCAGCCTTCAGTTCTGCAAGACAAGTCCTGGCCTTTTCCTCCTTTTGGCCAGTGCAGAGAATAGGAAGGTCCAAATCCTTAACTGGCTCTCCTCAGTGGTACTACAGGGAACACTAAGCAATCTGCAATATGTAGGCTGATGGAGGAGAGGTGATGCTCAACAAAAAGTCTACTGATAAGATATCTCTTTGCTGACACTTGCCCCAGGGAAGACAACACTGGAAATATTTATCCCAGAGTAACCCAGCATAGTGGAATCTGCAGGTATGTACTGTCCCTGGCACAGCTTCAGCAGCAAAGTCAAGGGGGATGCTTTGTGGGAATACAGCACTGGAATAACAACAGGTTTCTGCATGTTGGAACAGACCAATGAAAGGTAAGAAGACAAGGTGTATTTGGCAGAATCAAGAGATAGGGGATACTCCATTTAATGCCTAGAATGATCAGTCTAATTCTCTTTTATAGGTGTGTGTAAGCCAGAAAAAAATCTACAGATGTTAATGTATTTACACTGGCGTAAAACTGACACATGAGAGAAGACTCCAGCTCAGAAGGTATTAAGAGAAAGGACCAAGAGCTGGAATGACAGAGGGCACTGTGGCTCAGGATTAATAGGCACTGGCAGGAAGGCATGGAGAAAACCTGTTGAGCTCCTGTCTGCCACCTGCCAAAGTCTGGCCTTAGCCTAAGTTCTCTCATTCTTCTCTGTCCCAGCTTCAAGTAACACCAGCTGTAAAGGAAGGAGGAGGGTCAAATAAGGTTGTCTTGCTCAAGGCAACTTCACTTCTTTTCCTACATGTACAGATTTTCCTATGCACAGGCTGCCTCAGGTTACTCCCACATGAACAGCCCATGAATATGAGGCAGTGTTTTACATGCCAAGGAGATGACAAAAGATATAATTCAAGAAGAGGGTTGTTGACTAACGCTCTTGCTATATATTCTTCTTGTTACCATAACATATTAGAGGTGGATCTGAATGCAAGGTTAAAGCTAGGAGTGGGGTCACTCATATGTATCTGTCTGGAAATTATGGAACTGGAGCAAACTAGTTTTACATTCCCTAGAGAGAAAAAGAGAGAGACAAAAGCCACAACAGGATGATTATGCTTACTTAGCTCAGATAAGTCTCTTAAGACATGATGAGCTGCTCTCTGGAGAAGGTGGATCCAGCCATTAGCATGGCCAAATTTGAAATTATGTGCACCAAGATGATTTCCATGAAGAAGGGACAAGTTGAACCATAATAAGGGGGTAATGATTTGTCAATCATTGAGGAAAAAACATTGTGGTATAACTCCTACTGGAAAGACTTCAGGAAGGAGAGCCTGAGGAATTACATTTTATTGTAGTAAAACACTTTAGTGAAAGCTCTATAACAAGCAAACACAATGGGTATAGATGGCTTCCTTAACTTAACTGGTAGCCTAGCTACCCTGGCATGATGATCTTAATGTAAGCAAGGTCTGTGAACAAGACATTTCAAGGTTAGGCAGACAATGGAGAGACAGCATTTAGGATGTGCATTGAAGGCTTGATAGATACAAGAAAATCTCAAGAAAACTTAAAATTCTAGGGGTAACAAAGGAACACATTTTCCATGGTATTTGGAGAGGAGGGACAGAAAGTATTCTGAAGTGATGCATCATCTCTTTGTTTACATATAAGGAAGCAGCAGCTAATAAGAGAGCATGGAGACCAGGCAGACTAGGTTTTGCCCCTAAGCTAGAATCAGAACTATTTTGCAGAAAGAGCCCTGCAGGATGGCTCTGTCTCCTGGCTGCCAGTGACAGGACACTTCCTGCCATTCATTCATTGTCATTGCTTAATATAATCAGCATAGAAAGGGAGAGGAGAAAAATCCCAGGGATTTCCTCTCCTAATTTTCTCTTTCACTTCCAGCATCTGAAGCCAGCACCCTAGGAGCAGCAGCAGCAGATCAGCTGAGAGAGACAGAAGAGATACGTGAAAAGACTGGCATATAGGTCAAAGGGATGTGAGAGTGTGAAATGAGTACTAATATCTCCTTTTTCAGACCCTGGAGATGTTGCTTTGAAGCTACATTATATGTGGGTTTAAAAATTATTATTATTTATTTCTCCTTAATTCTTAATCCTGTCTGGCTACATAATCCTCTGTAGCCACCTTTTCCTTATCTGAGCTCAAATACCAACTCTCCCCATCTGTGGTTCAAGGCCTCACTCCTCAGTGCAGTCTTCAGGCATTCTACTCTTATTCAGGCTCTGACTGCCTCTCTGTGTGTACCACAAGTGGAGGACAAATTTTACTTTAAGACTGTGAATGATGCACTCAAATCTGTTTTCTTACAGGGAATGCAGCTGTAAATATAACAGCTTCATGTAAAAGAACCCTTTCCTTGCAGCATCTTCTCAAGAAAGGTAAATGCCCCTTTTCTGTATACCTTTTTCTCTCCCAAATGTATGTATATACATACAGTCATATCCTCCCTATTAAAAAGCCCTCCAGATGAAGCTAGGAAATAAATCTTTCAAGCATGCTCAGGGCATACAGCTTCTACTATTCTCATGACTGTATTTTATTAGATAGTTGTTCAGTTTCAGCTTGAGGCAGTTTTTGCCTATGCTGGAGGTTTGAATCACAGCAACTATAATGCATGCTGAAGCAGGGTAGAAATCCTCACTACTTATAAATATTAAATACTTCTAGATTACTTTGGAAGTATCAAGCAGAGGAGCTTTATCGTGAAGAATTCATCCTGAAGATGTGTCTGGTAGGAGAGGATGCCACGCTGCTGAAGCCAGAAAGCTGAGGGCTGGTCTGTCTGCTGGTTGATCTTCAGGTCTTAAATCAGTGTAACACTAGACAGTGTCACAGTAATGTTAAGATTAATACTTCTGTTTTGCCAATTGTTGTAAATCAAGGTGTAGGTCCTGCAGGTCCTTCAGTGCTCTCTGAGAGACCTTTCAGGCACAGGAAAAGTATGAATGACTGCTGCCCCTGGCAGGCTGCTCGAGTCTTTCCATCTGATTCTTCCATCACAAAGCTGTCAGGAATGTCTGTATGTACTGCTATTTTCACACAGTCTTTTTAAAAAACATGGAAATAGGGAGGAAGGAAAGGAGAGGGTGAATACTGAACAAGGAAGCTGCCCTTTTTCTTTTTGCAGCCCATGCACAGTGGGAAAAGAGAGCTGCTAGTGGCCCTCCAAAGGTGTCCTTCCTTTCCATCACATATGCTGTCATGGTGAAAGGACAATTTCAGCAGGCTGGGAGTGTACAAACCATGTATTTCGCAGGGTGTGCTCTGGAGTGATCAGTGCTTCAGGTGAAGTGGCTTCTTTAGTAGCTCATAGTGTCAAATAACTTATAATCTAAAAAGATAATAAAAGAGGAAACAAGGCAATGGGTGATCCAAGATCGGCAGCCTGTGAGTCTTCAAATAAAAGAAGTATCTCTTTTTCACTGGAGAACACCAGCTCATGATGTCAGTTCAGCTTTGCCTTCAATGAGCTTCTGCCAAACCCAAGATGGGGTTGCAGTCTGCCCTGATGTCTCAGTCTCTGTGAGAGTCCCTTGCAAATCTATCGAACTGAGAATTTTTTTACACTTGCCCTGGTTCAATTTGAAAAGAGTGTGTAGGGAGGAGGTTCTGAATCAGAAAGTCTTCTCTGCAGCCAGAGCCCTGTCTTGCACCAAAGGCAGGGCAGTGTCTGCCTGCCAGTATGCCAGCTCAGTGGAACAATATTGAGGCATAACACAGACATTGGTCTCCTTCCTACCACAGAGATGGATAAATGGAGACATACACATAAAGTGACTAACTCACTGAATCAATGAGCTGATTTATTCCTCTGCCCAAAATGTAAGTGTTCACTGTGGCACTACAGCAGCTCATACAGCACTGGGTCATCGACTAAAAAGAGGAAGTAGCTTCCACAAGATGAAGAGGGGTGCCCTCATAATTAGGATCATAAAGAAAAGAAGAAAAAAAGAAAGAAAGAAAAATATTTTTAAAAGCTGTATACAAGCTCCCAGGAAAGCTTCCTGTGAACAGTTTGGACAGCAGAATCTCGCTGACCCTCAGAGCAACAGCAGCCAGATTGAACATTATGCAGACATGCAGTGCAATGTAGTTGTAAGTTGGAAGGGACCTTCTAGTTCTCTTTCTGCCCCAGAGCTTCCTTGATACCTTGATCTAGCTGCCCGTGCTCACATTCATAAGAGCACTTAGATGCTGAGCTGATACTTCATAGATCTACACTTAAATAACCAAAATTTAAATTCTGCCTGTGCAGCTTTACAGATACCTGAATTCCTTCTGTGTCTAAGCTTCCCCTGTGAGACTCCTTAAATGTTTATATTACTGTATCTGTCTTGAAAACATTGAGCTGCTCACATCCTATTTCATATTTCAAACACAATATTGAGGCTTGCCTTAATATTCACACTAGTATGACTGCAAATGTGCCTTCTCAAGTCCCATGTTGCCTATTTCAGTTTTTTCCGCATAGTCAGGAAGCAGATGAGGGACATA